GAGTTTGGTCTATCCATGAGAATGTTTGATGTGTACATTTTTATTTTGGAAACAGGGCCTCTCCTTCTGTCACCTAAGCTGGAGTGCAGTGATGCAGTCGTAGCACACTGGAGTCTTAGACTCCTGGGCTCAATCTATGCTCCTGCCTCAGCCTCTTGAGTAGCTGGGACTATAGGCACAAGCCACTGTGCCTGACTAATTTTTCAGTTTTTTATAGAGACAGGGTCTTGCTGTGTTGCTCAGGCTAGTTTGGAACTCCTGGCCTCAAGTGATCCTTCTACCTCAGCCTCCCAAAGTGTTGGGATTACAGGCATGAGCCACTGAGCCCGGCTATGTGTACTTTGGAAGAATGTGTATTATGCTGTTTTGGGATGGTGTGTTCTAGAGATATCTGTTAGTTCTGTTTGGTTTTTGTTCAAATCTTCAATTTCCTTCTTGATCTTATGAATGGAAAGTTGAGTATAGAGGGGAGGGATAGCATTAGGAGATATACCTAATGTAAATGATGAGTTAATGGGTGTAGCACACCAACGTGGCACATATATACATATGTAACAAACCTGCACGTTGTGCACATGTACCCTAGAACTTAAAGTGTGTGTGTGTGTGCGTGTGTGTGTGTGTGTGTATATATATATATATGGCAAACTGGACTTGCAGAATAGATCTTTTGGTCACTGACCCCACTCAGCTCAAATCTTTTAAAATATCCCACTTATCTGTTGATCTTTTCCTCAAATCTTACCAAACAAAGAAGAAAGAAAAAGAAAGAAAAGAAGGAAGGAAGAAAGGAAGGGAGGAAGCTTCGGAGGAAGGGAGGAAGGGAGGGAGGGAGGAAGGGAGAGAGGGAAGGAGGAAGGAAGGGAGGGAGGAAGAGCCTAGAAAGACTTGACATCTTAATCAACCATTAGAGGCAGTAGAAATATTATACCCAGATATTTCTCCCCAAAAGAACATAGGACTTTTATTGGTGGTGACATAACAGCTCTACTTAGTGAAATCTGATTGAGTCCCTTAATGGTGAAATGACACACTAGGTGGAGCCAGTTATGCTGTTTCACTTCAAGCAGTCCTCTCCACTTTCCAGACTATTCCTACGGGAGATGATTGTTAGCCTGTTTTTTTCCAATGGTTTGTCTAAAAATAAGCAAAATTTGCCTTTTCCTGAGAATTACATGGACTTCTGGAAGTACCTTTCCCACTGCTTATAAGTGGGCTCTCCTCCCTTTAACACCCACCCGTTTTTTTCATATGAACTCTTATTTTTTTTTAAAACCTTAAACCTTTTCATTTATAGCTTTCAATCCTCATTTTGAACCTAATAGGACATCTCTGTTGGGCTTCAGCACTTTCTGTATTTAACACCATGTGTTTCTTTCTAGGATTTAGATGTTATGCATGGAAAACTATGAGGCGAATGGTTTTATAAGTTCTAAAGCTAACAGAAGTTACTCTTGTATTTTCCTATATCAGAAAATAAAGATTGAGGAAGGTTATGCCCAACCAAAAAAAAATCAAATGCCCAACTATTATTGTTTACTTGTGTATTTCTCCCTTCATTTCTTCAGCTGTTTCTTCATGTGTTTTGATGCTCTGTTGTTGGGTGCACATATGTTTACGATTGCTATATCCTCCTGATGATTGGCCCTTTTATCATTATTCAATGTCTTTTTAATACCTAATAATATATCTTGTTTTAAAGTCTATTTTGTCTGATATTAGCACAGCCATTCCAGCTTTCTTGTGGTTTCTTGATATTTTTTCTCATTTTATTTATTTACTTTAAATATGTTTTTACCTTTGAATATTCTATAAACAGTATGTTATTGAATCTTATTTTATTATCCAATCTGACAATCCCTGCCTTTTGATTTGATTGGTTATTTCATTCATCTTTAAGGTGATTATCGATAGTTAGGTTTCCATCTGTCATTTTACTTTTTGTTAGCTATGTGTCTCGTGTTTTTATTTCTGTCTTTACTCTTTACTGCTTTCTTTGGATTATGTGCTTATTTTCTTATATAGCATTTTCAATTTTTAAATAATTTTTTCACTTAAAAAAACATTTCCTGAGTGATTGTACTAGAGCTTACCATATAAATCTTAGCTCACTGGAATCAGCCTCAGATTTATATTAATTTTATCCTAGTGAATTATATAAATGTTACTTCTATATAGCTCTATTTGTTTTCTCTGTTTTTTGTGATATTGTTACATATGTAAGATCTGTGTATGTTGCAAACCCAATATGACATAATTATTACTTCAAATAATTGTGTCTTTTAAAGAAGCTGAGAGAAGAAAGGAGATACAGTATATGTTTGTAGATTTTGTTATATTGATCTTCTGATTTATCATTTATGAATCTCTTCTTTTGTTTCTGTGGATTCAATAACCACTTGGAGTCATTTCCTTAGCTCAGTACAGCTTTGCTTCCACCCACCTTCTTTGTTATGCTGAAGTGGTCCATATTGAAAAGCATGCATCATACTTTCCTCATTTGAGTGTAATTAGTACAAAATATATTCATACCTTCTTTTCTTCTTTTAAAATAATTATAACAGTTTTATTGAAGTGTAATTTACATGCCATACGAGTCATTAATGTTAAGTGTGCAAGTCAATTATTTTTTATAAACTTAAAAAGTTGTGTAGACGTCACTACAATTTAATTTTAGAACATTTCTATCAACCCAGAAGGATCCTACCTGCCTATTTGCAATCACTCCTCATTCTCATCTTGTTCTGTTGATACAGTTTTATATAACAGTTCTTCCTTTGAAAATCCTTCTGAAAGAAATAATACAATAAGTATTGATAATTATATAAAGGCTTACACTTTTATGTAAAATTTTTTCTTTTTAACTTTTTTTTAAGAGTCAGGGTCTCACTCTGTCATTCAGGGTGGAGTACAGTGGCATGATCATGGCTCACTGTGGTCTCAAAATTCTGGGCTCAGTGATGAGCTCAGCCTCCTGAAGAGCTGGGACTACAGCTGTGTGACACCACACTCAGCTGATTTTTAATTTTTGGGTAGAGATGGGGTCTCTTTGTTGCCCAGGCTGATCTCAAACTCCTGGCCTCTAGTGATCCTCCCACCTTGGCCTCTCAAAGTGCTAAGATTACAGGTGTGAGCCATTGTGCATGTCCACCTTTATATATAAATTTAAAGACATAGAAATAACCTAATACTACAAATAAGGGAAGATAAGAAAATTATCTTTATTTAATGGATTCTGTGTTTATATTACATTACACACTTTTTTAAACCTAAAAGTGTTAGATTTAATTAATTATTATATAAACGTGTTTTCCTCCTACAAACGAAAATAGGGTATAGTATATATCATGGGCTTAGAAAAACTAAGACCAATGTTTTTCCAAATAAAAATAGATTTTATTAGATATCTTACATTTCCACAAAATGATTTTAAATCTTTTAAGAGAATATATTAAAACTTGTTAATTCTGGTGTAAGCAGTATGAACAAAATGAAAGCAAGAGTTTTGTTCTAGACAATGGGATATACAAATGTTTCAGCAGTGGTAAAATGCAGACACAGAAAGCTGATTTCAGTGTTTAACAACATACCTTATGTGTTTTAAATCAGTCACTGTTTTTTTAATGTAGATATGCTGAGTTCTTAAGCATTCTAGTGATAACACTACCCTCCTCATTCCAAAAAAAGTATTATCAGTGAAATACTTCAGACTACAGCATATACAAATTTTTAATTATTCAGGTTGCTCTTGTCTTGGCACATGCCTAATAGTTAATGGTTTGCATCCAGTTTTGTATTAGATAGTCTCTACACACTAGTCCAGAAGTAAAAACTGACATGTTTGGTCTGCAAAGTGTTAAAATGTTTGAATTAAATTTTAAAATATAGTGATTTTAGATAAAAATTCAGATTTCATGTTTCTCTTGAAAAATATGGAAGAACTAGCAACATTGAACAACTGACTTAGGGGCCACTTTTAGAAAGAACAAACATTCTGCAGTTTGAGGAAGTTCCCATCTGGCCCAGTTCATTTATGCATATCTCTGCACCTCCCATAAGAACTTGAGTTTGGGACATTTGATTTAACCTTATTATAACATTAGAGTAAGAAAATTGGAGGCATATCAGCTAAATGATTTCCTCAGCATGAAAAAGATAATTAGTGGCAGAGTCAGGATTTTAAGATGATTTCACTATCGATACATTGAATATGGACTATAAATCAGAAGACTTAGAATTATGTGCTGGTCCCTTCTACATCTTAATTTCTGTAACATTCAGTTTTCATAATTGTAAGTTGAAATTAATAGTAATACTGATATGTGATTATTGCAAAGGTTAAATATTATTTATCATTATTAGATTCATATCTGTAGAGCAATTTTAACCACGTATAATAATACCTTTCTTGTTACAGATGGCGTATGTTTAGTTTTTATCTTTCATAGAAAGTAATAACATGTTTTAATGAACTTCTTTTCTGAGTTTAGTATGTATATTGTGATATTATTATTGAGTGTCATTGGTATTTCATAGGTTGATTTGCTTTTTAGTAAGGATAGGAATATTTTTGCATATTAACTTTTTATAGCCTAAAATGATGGTCATTTTTCTCTGTAAGTTATTCATGTGCCAGGCACTGTTTATTTACGTAAATACTTTTTAAAGTATTAACAAGAAAAATTAAACTTATGCTATGATGTAGTCAAGTAAAATTCTATTTATATATAATATCAGGTTTGATGTTTTTTTCTAATGATTTTGCCAGTAATGAAAAACTTTAAATTAGAAAATGAAGATCTGAGCATCTTTATTGCGGTAATAAAACTTAGCTCTCACTGAATTAAAGTGACAATAACAAAGTAAGAAACACCACTGAATAGTCCCTGACACGTGAAAGGTGCACAAATAGTTTATTATTGTAAATGTTTCTCTGTTTTAAAACTTTTGAGTTTAATTATTGCTTTTAAAGAGTGTTTACCTTAGTTTTATTTTTTCAGAGTACCTTCAAGTTTAAATCTGAGAGTGATATTCATTTGGCAGAACATCATAAACAGGTTTTATATGATGGAAAACTTGCAAGTAGCATTGCCTTTACATATAATGCTAAGGCCACTGATGCTCAACTCTGCCTGGAATCATCGCCAAAAGAGAATGCATCAATTTTTGTGCATTCCCCACATGCTCTAATGCTTCAGGTGTGTGAATTGTGGCTTTGTTTTCATGTTCTTGTTAGAATTTGACAGTAACTTTATTTTATATGTCAAACATTGCTCATCTATAAATCTATGATTTTTTGTTTCTTTTTGGCTTTTGCAGATCTTTTAAGTGAAACTTTAGAGAATGTCTCTCTTTTCTGTAGCAATATACTCTACCCTGGCTTTGTCTCCTTAGTAGGAAATCTGTCATATCTATTATCTTATATGTTATATAGCCTTTGAAATTAAATCAATTAACTGAATAAGTTAATTGTTAGATATAAAAACATACTTTGCTTTAAGAATGTATTACTAATATTCTCTAACAATAAAATTACTTGTCTTAAATCCATCAATAGTATTTCTGATTTTAAAATAACGTTTGATTTTAACTTCATATTTTTAGTGTAAAAATGTCTCAACCTAAGATTTGAAATTTAAAAGTGATTAGCAAAGGTATTCACTTTTTTGTCTTATATGTATATAGCAATTATAATTGAAGGCTTAAAAATGTCCAACTATGTTATTTAATTCCCTTATAAAGGTACTTGGAACAAGGAAATAGTGATGAAAATCGTTCTATAGAAGTTTAATACACATTTTTGTTTTTGGACATAGGATGTGAAAGCGATAGTAACACATTCAATTCATAGTGCAATTCATTCAATTGGAGGGATTCAAGTGCTTTTTCCACTTTTTGCCCAGTTGGATAATCGGCAGCTCAACGACAGTCAAGTAGAAACAACTGTCTGGTAAGTTTTCTTTGCATGAACAATTGCTGATATTTTATACACACTTAGACTATGCATGATATACTCGGTGCTGTATAAATGTATTACGGTATTTGGGTTCTGCCCTTAAAGTGCTAATAAAAATTTTTTGGAACTAGTGGAGATAGATATTTATACAATAAGTAAAGAAAACCCTGACATTTAGGTTGTTATATCATAAAGGAATGCCTTTCTTGATAATAAATAGCAAATTCTTACCAAAGATAGCATAGTGATTATAATATGTAGTTGAGGGAAAAATATTAATCCTGACCTTATCATTTGCATATACTCATGGATTGAATTGACCATGAAACCCTGTCAGGTTGAAGAAAATTACTAGGGTAAAGTTATTCAAAAGAATAATATTTATTAGCAATTACATAATTTATATCCTAAAAAGTGATACTATTTTATAATGCTTTTGTCATGGCATAAGTCTAGCATAATATTAATTGGCATCGTCCCTTATTTATATATAGTTTATGTTTGAGGACTCAAATCTAACCAGTGGCAAATCCATGTTTATGTAAAAATTAAATCTCTTCTAATGAGTGTGATTTCATGTGCATTTTTATAGTTTATCTTTTATTTAAAAAAAATTATGTGCCAGACTCTAATTTAATGTTATAGCTTAGAATTATACATAAAAGAATTTAAAAATGAATTGTAGTAGTTATTTTGACTATACACATTGCCCTGCTTGGGGATTTTAATGGGCAAGTTATATAGATAAGCATTAATTTTATTCCAAAAGTAACACTATAGTGCTTCATTAGTATATATACATATAGATGAGCTCCTTCATGGGTTATCTAGTTTTGAATTGATGGCGAATCTAGAAAGTGTGGGAAAAATTTAAGGTACAATGAAATACTTTTTCTCATAATTATTATCTAAATTACCTGTTAATGAAATTCCATTTTAGTATTTCTAATAATGTTATTTCTGTTTTGGGAACAACTTTATGTAAAGTATAAATCTAAATATAGATATGAGATTTGTACATTTATAACATTCACTTCCCATCTATGGGTCTTGCCTTCTTTTATATCAATATAGTGTAAAGGTTGGAGTTTTGAAAGTAAAAAGCTTTGAAGTGAAAAAGAATCCTGAGATTATGTCCTACTGTGATACTGTTTTGCTTGTAGATCTTAAATAATCTAATTGGAAGGCAGTTCAGCTTAGTGGAAAAATCAAACTTTAAATTTCAGTCCTTTATTTAAATTCAAAATATTTTGCTATTTATCATCTCAGTGAACTAGGACACATTATGATCAGTAATTTAAAATCTAGTCAGTACTGTGAAAAGAAGTGGGAGATGAAGTAGCCGCTAGAAAAATCCATGTATAATTTAAATATTTCTTATGAAATAATATGAAATACATATATTATAAAATCTTACTGCTAAAACCATATGTAATAGGTTTTCATTCATCCAAGATGCGTGTTTATTTTTACCGTCTTTCTTCAAAACTCATTTAATTTTTATATTACATCTTGGTATTTAAATTGTATTTATTTCATCATGGAGATAAAAGATAGTGTGAGGAGTCAGCATACCTATATTCATTTTGATTTTAGTTCTTTTATATCATTCATCCTAATATCTCCCTATATCAACTAATTCCAACCTTTTCAGTGATGTCTATTATGTCTTTAGTTTGTTTGTTTGTTTATTTATTTGAGATGTAGTCTTGCTCTGTTGCCCAGGCTGGAGTGCAGTGGTGCGATCTCGGCTCACTGCAACCTCCGCCTCCCAGATTCAAGCAATTCTCTTGCCTCAGCCTCCCAAGTAGCTGGGATTACAGGCGCCTGCCACCATGCCCAGCTAATTTTTGTGTTTTTAGTAGACAGAGTTTCACCATGTTGGCCAGGCTGGTCTTGAACTCCTGACCTCAAGTGAGTCACCTGCCTTGGCCTCCCAAAGTGCTGGGATTACAGGCGTGAGCCACTGTGCCCGGCCCTGTTTATAGTTTGCCAATAGAAAACATAACAAGAAAGATACCACTCTCCTCTTTAAATATAATACATACTCAATTCCAGGCCCCCCTGTGATTTAGTTATGTGCTATTTTGAATTCTTATCTATTACTTTTTCATTAATTATTTCAGTATCCTAAGTATCTGAGATTTGCTCTTTGGTATGGACAGTTGTGTGGATCAGTAATGCAGTCTTTTGTTATTTAATGTTTTATAGGGAACCATTATAGAAAACTATTTGCATCGGTGAAATAGTCTTTGATTTTGCAAGCTGTTAAGTGGGATTTCTCCCTCTATTTGAAAAATACAGATTCATGACTGTGCAGGGGTTATAGAATTTTATGTTTTATGGCTATATCGTCAGTTCATATAGATGATTGGGACCTTGAAAAAGGATTTATCATCTTATTGTTAGTCAATAATAAATTTTTCTAGATCAAGGATAATCAATTTGAAGTTTTTAACTCTTCCAGAAAAAATTTAATATACTCCTTTTTGGAAGTCTGATTGCATAGTAAAGAGATGACTGAAAGTTGCAATACTGTCTAATTTTTAATTGCTTTTTTGAGAAATGGAGCTAAGCTCAAATACAAGTTACTTCTCTGCCCTCTGTGTTTCAAGCTGAAGCATTTTATCTTCCACATACTTTTCTCTGTTAAGTAGCACCTTTTAATGAAAATTTTCAGTGTTTCTTAAGCCTTACCTCTGTTGGCACTACTACACTGTTTTTATCAACTTTGATGAGTTTTTACTTCATATAGGGGATTTAGAATTTTTAAAAATTATTGGCTGGGAGTGGTGGCTTACGCCTGTAATCCCAACACTTTGGGAGGCTGAGACCGGTAGACTGCTTGAGTCTAGAATTTTAAGACCAGCCTGGACAACATGACAAAACTCCGTCTCTGCAAAAAAATAGAAAAAATTAGCCGGGCATGGTGGCATGTGCCTGTAGCCCCAGCTACTGGGGAGGCTGAGGTAGGAGGATCACTTGAGCCCAGGAGGTGGAGGTTGCCATCAGCTGTGATCGCACTACTGCTCTTCAGCCTGGGTAACAGAGTAAGACTCTGTATCAAAAAACCTCCCCAAATTATTGAAGCAATAATTTCATTTTCTAGAGTCTTCAAAGATGAATTTATTTTTGCTGGATAATTTTTGTGACTTTTTAAATTATGAAGGCCACTTATTATAGTTATTATATATATGGACATTCAAATCAGACAAACTTGGGTTCAAGTCTTGAATTTAGTGTTTATTACTAGTGCAACTTTGTGTATGTGATTAATTTTTTGAGCATAACTCAAACTCTGAAGTAACATAGCTTTTGTATTTTGTGTCCAGAATGACTCAAGAAATTAAACAGAAACTTTATTTTCCTTTGAATTGGATGATTATGTAGACTGAGTACATACTATTCTTATTGAGTACGTATTATTGAATACATACATCTTATTGAGTACATATTACTGAGTACATACATCTTACTGAGTACATATTCTTACGTTGAACTATTTTTTTAAGAACATGGGTAATTATGTAGGTGATACAAAATAAAACCTTCCTCATCGTGTGACCTAAGACAGCTTTGCTTTGAAAAAAATTTATGTTTTCTAGTACAAGGTATGAATTGAGTTTTGTATGTCAAACCATTAAAAATACACCAAGAGATAGTTTCATTAGAGAGCAATGTGATATATTGCATAAGTGTTCTTTTGGTGGAAGACAAATTTAGACTCAAATCCCTGTCCTGTTTTATAGTGTCTCATGTTAGGTGATGGGATATTCATGGGTTTGTAGTAGTGGTACTTGGCATTTATTGAATACTTACTATGTGCTAGTCACTTTTTTTAAAAAAAAGTTTTATTGTGTATGTTTAAGGTATACAGCATGATATTATGGGATACAAACAGATAGTAAAAAGGTTACTATAGTGAAGCAAATTAACGTCTGTCATCTCACACAGTTACCTATTTTTGGGGGGAGGGAAGCAGCTAAAACCTACTTATTATGAATCACATACAACGTATAATTCTGTTACCTACAGTCCTCGTGTTGTACATTAGATGTACTTGTTCATCCTACATATCTGGTACTTTATTTCCTCTAACCTACATCTCCCCACTTCAAGCCCTGCTGCCCTTTCCCCTGATGGCCACTGTTTTGTTTTTTATCTCTGTATATTTGAATTCTGTCAGTCATGTATTTTAATCTAATTATTTGCTGGTGAAGAAGAGAAAAATTGAATGATTTGTTCAAGATCGCAGAGACATAAGTGGCAGGACCAGGGTCCTAGTCCTGAAAGCCTGACTCTAGAGCCCTTACTCTAAACCACTGTGGACCACTCTGAGAATCACTTTTGCCAGCTGTGGAATGATTTTAATAAGTGCCAACTTTATCTGATTGTAGTATGAATTAAAATAAGACATGCAAAGTATCTGTCATAGCGTCTGGTACATAGTTGGCACTTAATGAGTTCTCTTTTTACTTTTTTCCATGAGTACTAGTCTGTTGGTTAGATACAGCTTTTTAGTTATTAAAACTTATTTTTAATGTTATTATAAACTGTGATAATTTTTATAAAGAAGAAATTTCAAGTGATAAATTATCTTAAGTATATGAATATTTTTCTGGGAAAAACATTTTTTAAAATTACAATAAATACAGTTTGTTTGCTAAAATGATGGAACATAAGATATAAAAGTGTTTAGAGAATCCTAAAAAGCATGTATGTCAACAGTCCTATCATATGAACAGTCCTCTTGTAATGTGAATATTTATGACTCATTAGTTTGTTTAGTGAACTTAAATCACAATTTATTTCTTAATATTATCTTGCTAATTAATCAGTTATTCCAGTAATTACCTTGAATTTTACAGCCACTTTAATAATTAAGCAACATCTTAATAATTAAATATTTCATTCTAATATTCTGATTAGTACTATTGTAATATGTAAAGCAACAGAATTATCTGGAAAATTTAAATATTTCAGTGTCTAACTGC